GTCGGCCAGTACGTCAGCAACAACATCGGCATCGAGAACCCGACCGCCTCGACGGCCCCGCTGCACGACGCCACCGCGCAATGGTATGCGCTCACCAAGCTCACAGCCCTGGTCGACGAGAACACGCGCCTCAGCTTCATCGGCGGCGGCGCCAGCGCGCGCTACCAGATACCCAACGTGCCGGGACAGGCGCCCAGCTTCCCGCTGAACGGCATCACCGACTGGAACAGCGCGCTCCTCGACCAGCGCCAGTGGGAAGACACCTACTTCGGCATCGCCTCGCTGCAGAAGAGCTACCAGGATTTCAACCTGCAGCTCTCGGGCTTCGCGCGTTATTCCAAGCTCTCCTACCAGCCCGACGCGCTGGGCGACCTGCTCTACAACGGCATCGCGCCGTGGTCGCAGCGCACCAGCCTCGCGGTCGGCGCACAGGGCGACGCGAGCTGGAAGATCGCCTCCAACCACACGCTGCGCGGCGGCTTCCTCGTCCAGCGCGAGCGCGTCACAAGCTTCAGCCAGAACAATGCGCTGGGCATGGTCCCCGATCCCGCCGATCCGACCGCCACCATTCCCGGCACCGATCCGGTGGGCTTCACCGACGGTTCGGAAATCGTCGGCTGGACCTACAGCGTCTACCTGCAGGACGAGTGGAAGGTGATCCCGAACGTCACGATCAATTTCGGCGCGCGCTTCGATGCGATCTCCGGCCAGCTTTCCGAAAACCAGCTCAGCCCGCGCATCAACGTCGTCTGGGAGCCGACGCCGGAGATCGCCCTGCGCGCCGGCTATTCGCGCTACTTCGTGCCGGCGCCGCTCAACCAGGTCGGATTCGGCTCGCTCGCGGTTCGCGTCGGCACCACCGCTGAGCCGGAAAATTTCCAGAACGATCCGGTCAAGGCCGAGCGCTCCGATTACTTCGACGTCGGCCTGACCGTTAAGCCGGTCGACGGCCTGACCGTCGGCTTCAGCGGCTACTACAAGATCGCCGAGAACTATCTCGACAAGGGCCAGTTCGGGGCGCCGATCCAGCTCGCCTCTTTCAACTATGCCAACGCGCAGGTGAAGGGCTTCGAACTCTACGCCAACTACGACAAGGGTCCGTGGTCGCTCTACGGCAACCTCGCCTGGTCCAAGGTGAGCGCCACCAACATCACGTCGGCGCAGTACAATTTCTCGCCCGGCGATCTTTCCTATATCGGCAACTACTGGATCGCCGCCGATCACGACCAGGGTTGGACCGGATCGGCCGGCGCGGCCTATGTCTTCAATTCCGGCAGCGAATGGGCGACCCGCGTCTCCGCCGACATGCTGTTCGGCAGCGGCCTGCGCACCAGCATCGTCACGCCCAACGACACCTCCCTGCCGGCCTATGCCACGCTCAATCTCTCGGTGACGCAGAAGGTGCCGATCAGCGGCAGCAAGGGCACGCAGATCCGGCTCGATGCGATCAACGTGACCGACGGTGTCTACGAGTTGCGCACCGGCGAGGGCGTAGGCGTCGGCGCACCGCAATACGGAATGCGCCGCGCCTTCTTCGTGACGCTGGCGCAAAAATTCTGACCCGCAATCGACATGATCGGGCGCGGCAGGGCGTGCTAGAACCACGTCCATGCCCGACACCGTTCTCCCCCACGTCCTGCACCTCAAGGGCGGTTCCAACTTCCGCGACCTCGGCGGCTACAAGACCGCCGACGGCCATACCGTCCGCCGTAACGCGGTGTT